CTCCGTGAAAGGGGACGCCGTCATTCAGCCACTCTGAAAGATCCTTCGCAAGGGAACGAAAATGACCGCGTCAGGGCCAATGTTTCAAAGGCGAAGCTTTCTTTCTTGGAAGACCTAATGACTTTTGAGTCAATACTAAATAAATATATGGTTTGTAATATTATCAATTCACAAAAGGGTTCCTCTGGAAATGTGTCTGCGACGCCTGTAATTGCGCTCTCTAGTTCTTATGTGTATGAGACTGCGAGCGGCCTCTATTTCTTTTGTACCCCCCCCCCCCTCCTTTTTTTTTTTTTTTTGCTCATACTTGAAATGTTTGAAGTAAGCCTGAACAGTCATGCTTCTTGTACACGTGTCTATTAAGAAAGGTCGAACATTGACAAAGAAAATGCTTCGCGTTTTTGAACTGGAATGACCCCGTAAGAGCACGTTCCGAAGATGTACGACGAAGGCATTTCGTTTGCACACTTAGGTTTCGTGGCAACTGAAAATGTCAATACCCGCGAAGATGTTAGTTTCCCGGGCTGCACAGCTTTGTTGAGAACCTGTCGATGATCGATTGGTGGAACCTAGTGTTAAAGCGACACAGAAGTTGTGGTATATGCGTACCAGAAGAGAAGCTCTGACTTTTTTTTTTTCTTTACATGGTTCACTAGCCACCTTGCACATACCGAGGCCATCGAAACGCGACTGGCGCTGCTAAAAGTCGAACCTGCCACTTCATGCCGTGATATTAATCGACTGCTTATTTCTCAATTGTCGCATGTCTCTCCATGTCAAGTGTTCTTGTAGTTTTTGGGTGCACGTTAAAGAACCCCAGATAGTCGAAAATATCGGAGCTCTCCACTGCGGCGTCTCTCATAATCATATTGTCACGGTAAATTAATAAAATGAAAGTCAATAATATCCCGGTTATCAGCACGTCTGTTACCGAACGTCTTTTTTTTTTTTCGTTCTACTATCCACAAAAAAAAAAAACCGCTGCCTCGCACAAATAGCAAACTGCCTTGTACAACAGACCAATACTTCTGTATGCTCGTGTCAATATTTTGGTTTTGTGACGTTAAACCCCACATGTGAATGAATTAATCAACCAATCAATCTAAAAGACAAGTTGCATTGATGGTAATTGCGTAGTTTTACTTATTGGAAAAGCTGCTGTTATCAAATTCCATGTGGTGTAAGTCAATTGCACAGGCGCAGCAAGAGTGGTGTTAAAGGCACAGTTATTTGTGTTAAGCAATATTTTTCTGACTTTAGTCTTCCAAATATTGTTATGGGAGTTACAAAAATCTATACTTACCTTTTACTAAATAAAAGAAGCATATTAACAACTCGCTGAGAGGCAAATTTTATTTAGTTCGATACATCTCATTCTGTGCCATAGCGGATTTTGCTCGTCGTATGCCACGACAAGTGTCTCGCGTGAGTGTATCTGCACCTTATTTGGCACATTGTTTTTCTTCTGTGGTAATGTGGTGACATGTCCAAGCTGTTCCAAAAAAATGTTCGTCGTTTTGTTGAACGCCTCGCTCGAGACCGTGCCTCTCGGGTCGCCGTCGACTCTTGGCGTCAGCTTGATAAACCATGGAAGATCTGTCCGTACGCTATTGTGCATCTTGGTTGCCCAGCTGCTCGCCATTGCGGCACCGCTTATGCGACCCCCCAAGAGAACTGTGCTTCAAGCGTGCCGTCGGCCGAACCTCGGCTGCTTCGAAGCCGCGCTCCGGGATTAGCCCAGGACGACGGGCGCCGGCTTGTTTCGCTGCCCCCTCGGGCCGCCGCTATTTTCGGTCATACATGTGCGCGGCGCCGGCCACGTAGTTCGAGCCAGCGTGGCATCGTGAGGTCTTCTGGGATGCGGCTGACCTTCACGAGGCGCTGACGCGTCGTGACGCAATTGTGGCGGCCCTTCCGCGTCGGAAGGGGGCGAGGGGCACCCAGATGGTGCTCGTTGGTGCCGCCATTCGCTACTGCAGCCTGACGCGATCACCCCGCCACCAGGAAGCGACCTTTTGCGACGTCATTCTTCTCCACTCGCGCTCTCCCATTTGTGGTTGCCGTTGTCTGTTCTCCCTCGGCTCGTCTCTCTCGCGCACGAGTGAACCCTGTGAGTGAATTGTTACACCGGGCTCGTCACTCACTCTTCGCGACTTTTTATTTTTATTTCTTTCGAATTCGCGAGGGATGGGAAATTCGGTGAAGGTGATCCCCATGATTCTCTTTGTAATTTCGAATGATACGTTTTAAGTCGCCTGAATTTGATTGAGGACCTCTGAACAACTACCAAAAAAAAAAGGCTTTTGTCCTTCGTGTCAAGCAGAACTGTACCTCGGGCCAGTTGTTAAAGGGATACTAAAGGCAAATAACAATTTATGTCAGAGTGAAAGCTCAGTGTATGATATCGCCTAAAATGGCACTATTATCAACAGCAGTGCCGTATTTACCCAGAAATTAAGCTTAATGTACCACAGGAAGGGCCCCCATGAGAGGGATATTTTGGAAATGATCCCGATGACGTGACAGCGTCCGACTACAATTAATCGCTAGTAATCAAACTAGCTGCAATAAAAAAAGAACCATCCGTGCATCAAGAGACGCAATAAAATGCTGCTGGTTCGTTTTTGTTTGATTTATAGAAAAGTGAATCGCCGGGTGTTACTATAGGAAATGGCACGAGTGAGGAAAGTGCTCAACTATATATGAGCTAGTTTGCACCTGTTGAGACGCCGTCCCCGCACTTGTCGATCTGCCAATGAAGCCAGAGGAAAAGGCCGATGGCCGCTCAGAAGCTCCGTATCAAAGGAGCCAGCGACACATCACGCAAAGTGCCGGGTAGCCCTTGGCGCTTTGCAGGCCGCTTGTTTTGTTTGCCCCCTCAACATCGAGTCATGGCGCGGCGTGTGGCTGCGTCGGCGACCTTGCCGTTGCGTCGCCCCTCGCTGTCTTGCGGGAGCGTACGATTTCGCCGCCGCTAGCGTGTTCGTTCCGGCGTGCATGATGCTGCCAACGGACCAACACGACCGGGCGCATCCACGCGCCTCGTACTGGATAGTAGTCATGGAAGCTCTGCTGGGCGCGTGTATAACCTGCACGCGTTGATCTCCAAACGCGTTGCAGTTCTCGCATATTGAGCGGAAGATGCACGCACCACGAGGCTGAATGTGCCCACGCATAAAATGAGCGCTTTCCTCCACGGTATCGAAAGTGTCCGTGTCTTGGACGTGCGTGCGGTGTAGTGTGTTATATCTCACGATGCGCACGTGCCAGGGTGCCGTTGCCGTATTTTATAATACCGCAGTAAGTCTAGCTGCGCACACTAGTGCTGCAGGTTGTCGAGACGTCTCACGATGCTGACGCTTTGCTGTCGTGCGAACGCAGCTAGTGGCTTTGGGTGTTGCCCTGCATGCCGAGGGCGACGTGGCGGGGTCAGCCGCGTTCCAATGTTGGTGTAATGCAAGAACTATGTTATACCTACTGATTTTTAACCTGAGGTGGTCAAAGGTAATACGAAGTGCCCCACTATAACATGTAGTTATGCGTGCTACGCCGAAGAATTCCCATTCAGAGACATGAAAATTCCCTATTTCGTGGATTTTCCCCTGCAAACTGTGACGAAATTCCTAGCATATTTCCCTGTGCAACAATACGAATTTCCGCCCCCATCCACGCACACTATAATTACATGTGTCCCAGGTACTGGCGACTTTTGAAATCATGACTAGCCCCTACACAGCCGCATAACAAAAGCATGATTTTATTACTTTATTTTATATACTGTCCCTACACCGCAGTTTGTGGGCTTCAAGTCTGGCACCGATAGCGAACTAGAAATCTCTCCGCGTAAATATCAGAAACAAATCTCAAAGGCTATGCTTGCGTGGTGCATGCGTCAGAACCGATTACAGCAGATGAAGGCGCACTGTGCCCCCTAATTATCGGTCGTCATAGGAGAATTTAACCATTCTTGAAGTTACCTGCAATATTTCGCGGTGTTCTAGTGGCTAAGTTACTCGGCTGCGCACCCGCAGGTCGCGGGATCGAATCCCGCGGCTGCGGCGGCTGCATTTCCGATGCAAGCGGAAATGCGCAGGCCCGTGTGCTCAGATTCGGGTGCACGTTAATGAACCCCAGGTGGTCGAAATTTCCGGAGCCCTCCACTACGGCGTCTCTCATAATCATATGATGGTTTTGGGAAGGTAGACCCCACATATCAATCATCAATCAAATTACCTGCTATATTACAAAGATTCCCCTTTTCCCTTTGGCTCAAAATTACAGACGAAAATTCCGCGAAAAAGCGAAAATTCCCTGCACGGAACACCACTGACAACATTTCTCATAACGATAACGTGGTTTTGACGCGTAACCTAATCGGATCTTTTGCGCCGGAAGCTGGCCGGCGTCGACTTGAACACCATGAAAATAGTTCTTGCTATTTTCTACTTTGACAAGCGTAGCGTAACATAATTTATTCACTCAAGGACAACTGAGGGTGCATAAGCGTGCATGCCACGTTGTATATTTTTGTATTCTGCTATTGTCTGTAGTAAGCATAAAAACGGCGATATTTATTGGAAAGAAAAAAAAAACTTCAAACAGTCGGACGTTTTGCTAACTGATCTGCAACTTTCTTGTTGGAGTTACTTTCTTAGCTTCGTTGCTTCAAGAGCCGGTTAATTAAACTTGGTTAATTAAGTAACTAAGCTCCGCGTGAGAACTAGTGCGACTGACTCCATAATGTAACGTGCAACATGCATCTCGTCGCGTTGTCATAAAGTGCCCTGCAAATATATCTGCTCTATACACACAGCCAAGTACTGAGTTAATTTGGGGCTGAGACAGTGGGCTTCTTCCTTGGACTCAACCGCTCGTTCGCGCCTGTTAGGTGTCAGCAATAACAGGAAACTTAGAAAAGATTGCTGTGGAATTGTGATATCTTTACGCAGCGGTGAGCATTCGGCGGAGGTCGACGAAATAAAAAAAGAAATGGAACTCACCCAGACTCTCTGAAGAAATGCATTTTGCTCTCAGAGCATCGCTCAGACTCGATAAGCCATTTCTCAACCGCACTCACTCAGACTCAAACTTATGACGTAACCTGAGTTCGTCATTCGACTCGTGAATCCGCAGCCGTAAAATTAGCTTTTCCTCTCGTGGTGTAAACGCTCGTTAAAGAGCCGCAGGTGGACGAAATTTCCGGATCCCTCCACTGCGGCGTCTCTCATAATTATGTTTAGGATTCGGGACGCTAAACTCTACGAATAATTATGAAGGTTATTGACCCTAAGATACAGTTTACAACTTATGCTACGACACTGAGAAGGCAGTTCGTTGCGGATTCAAAAGCAATCTGCGCATAGTATAGCATTATTCGTTGAGTTGTGTTTACATCTGTTCTCCGTGCGTGCGCATTATCCATGGGACGAACGGGGTGAGCGTACGCCCGCAGACTTTGCGCTGGGATTACGGGGTGGGAGGGCGTCTCGGAAACGGCGGGTGGTTGCGGCTGCTGCTGCCGATAACGACGCTTTCGTGCCTTGATCGCCCGAGGTGGCTAAACAGCGAGCAACGTGAAAGCGAAACTCGCATTGCGACGCCACGTGTGTCACCAAACAAAGGGTGTGATGGGTGAGTAGCAAAAGGACGAGGCTTGCTACGTCGCTGGCCCATTGTTTTTGTTGGTGCTCTTCCGTCGAGTAAGCCAGGCGCCGATAAAAAATCGGGCGAACAAAAAAACCTTTAGCTAACTTGTGAGGGAAGAGTACTCTGGAAAGAGAGCGCTGTAATAGTAAGGCCGACAGCGGTCCAATCGTGTTGTTTGGCCGAGACAGGCGCGTGCAGGTACACGTGCCGTCGTATGCGGACAGCTGCGTCCGGACGGAGGAGTCTTCTCCGCTGGATGCTGCATACATGTCGCGTTGCTGGCCCGCGAGCGGCGTACGCCAGCTGCAGTTTTGTTTCGTGCTGTGCGCGGTGTGCCTGCTTGCACTGCCCCGGGCCGTTCTCGAACCATTTGCACGGTGGGAAGCTACTCGGAAAGCGTTTCCGTCGCGCTTTGATTGGCTCTCGCTTTCGTGGCGACCCGTGGCGCGGTGAGTCTTTGTTCCTTGAGGAGAACTCCTTAGTGTGGTTGTAGGATTCTAGTACTAAGTTTGGTAAACCGAGTGCACCCACCGTGTGAAGCTAACAGGGGAGGGGGGGGGGGGACGAAAGGAAAGGACAAACGCCAAAATCTGGCTGTTGGTGTGAGCCGTGACCGAACGCTTCACATTTAGCATGCGATACTCCTCTAGTGCTGAGCAACGGTTTTGCCAGCTCCACATTCTGTAATGTATGTATGTATGTATGTATGTATGTATGTATGTATGTATGTATGTATGTATGTATGTATGTATGTATGTATGTATGTATACTAAAGTTGACCTTGGTAATGTTTCCCGGTGCCAGTCATATATTTGTCTCGTAGTAGTACTAGTAGCATCCGCAGTAGTACAGTGCGGTCGTGCACGGCAAAACTCGTGATCGTGGGTTTTATGACGGCCAGGGCAACGACGTTTTGATGGGTGCGAACTGCAACCTGGAGTCCGGTCCATTCGCTATGCGTGCCTCACAATCAGGTCGTGATTTTTAGCACGCGAAATCTACGTCTTACAAAGTTTGTCAGCGGAAAATCAACGAATTTGTTTTAATAGTAGTAGTACATTTTAAAAAAAGTTGTGGCATTTACTTAGCTTTAGGTAAATTCTTCTCACGGCATTCACCTATACTAATCAACTGCACGTAGTAACTGCCAAGTTATTAGCTTTGTTACTGTGACCACTACCATGTTAGTACGGTTCTAATACTAGTACACTACAGTTACCTTCCAATTGGTTTGCACTTCTTTAGACTATGTATGTCGTTGGTATTAACATATAAAGTTCAATTTATTCCAAAGGCGTATACGTTTGTGGCTTAACGTCCCCAACTGACTGGGGCTGTGAGAGCTGTTGTAATTGAACGGCATTGTTCTCTCAGATTAAACAGTCCTCGCTTATTACGTCATGTGGTTGGTCTGGTAAATACACATTGCAGAGACATGTTCAGATAGCGTCTGCATACAGGCATGAACGAACCATAATCGGGAACACACACACATGCACAGAATATCAAAGCTTCTACACGACATAAGCTTTAACCGAAGCAACAAAGCTTAAATGGCCCTACTTTTGGACAGTACGCGTTGTAGTGAGGCGCATTCACGAACTTAGACATACATCTGATGTTTTGGACCAGATCCCGATGGAGCACGAACTGTTATTCCAACGTGATAGAGGGAATTAGAGTTTACCTAAATTCTCCTTAAGGGTGTCACATTTGCAGCATAACTTGCTATGGTAACGCCCTTAACATGTGCAGGCTGTAGCCTTAACGAATCCTGACATGCTCAGTAGTAACGAGAACGTATATACTACCTAATATATTTCAATAGTATACAACGTTAGCGAGGAAGAGGAGAGGGAAAAACCAGAGAGATGGTAGTAAATTGTGTAGTAAATGCTGCAGTTATTATTCTTTAAGAGTCGGTATCGGTGTTGATTGAAAATTCACATAGGCTTTAACGTCGATAGAGATGTCACGATTAATTTTGCTCACCTGGATCTTAACGTCTACACATTAAATACTAAGTTCTGTCATCACGCGGTATGCATGCTGCCTCCGCTGTCGATGGTCGAACACGGGAACCTTGCGCTTTTAGCGCAGTTTGGGAAGACTGGTAATGACAATTGTAACACTAAGTCAGTTATCTGAATATGAACATTACGCTGGCTGGCCTCGTAGAGGAAAAGGCGCCGCGTTCATTCCCGTCATAAATACGTACGTACATATATATAATAACGCACCCCATAATTTTGCCACTCTTCGTATTGTCGCAGTGGCCTTGCGTTATCGCGATGTTCTCAATTGGTCGTCTGAACGCGACCTTGATTTTTGGGCCGGGTGGCGCGTTCTCTGTAGGGCGACGCCGTAATGATCGCACGAAAGAAGCCGCCCTGTGTCGCAGATGCGTCCCCTGATAAACTGTCCTCGAAACGTTGTGGTGAAAAAGTAACGTGGCGTTTACAAGGGGAGCTCGCATCGCACATGTAGGCCGTCCGCATGTCTAATTGGGCCGTGCGCCCTGTTCGCGCACTGTCAACTTCAGCGCGAAGAACTCATTTTGTGGTGCGGTTGTAGTGTGTGTTATGTTAGAAATGAGTGATATATAGGATAATGGCGACGTGAGCGTACATTGCCTGATGCGGCCGGGTCCATGCTTGCGCTTTGTGTACTACTCGTTAGCTGCAGTGCTTTGCGTTGGCAGCGTCATTTCTAACAATGGGGCACGTTCATTCGTTTACTCCGAAATCCTTTTGACACTTATCGCTGACGCTTCCTCATATCATTGTGATATCCACTCGATCCCACGGAGGGATGAATTAGCTTCTTCGCCTTGCATGTCAGATTCGCAGACGAGGATTCGCAGACGTGTTGTGCCGAATTATATATAATGTGTAAATTTTCCTCTGTGGAGGCTCCTTTGGCGGCGCAGAAAATATTCTAGGGGTCGCGCGGAATCCATGGGCTAAACTAAATCTTGCACGTTTGTGCGGCGTAGACGGACGCTGTCTCGTCGTATCGCCTTTGTTCGTGCACCCTGACGCCAGCATTCTTGTGGGCGAGAAACTGCAAAATCGCCCACGTTGATGAGGTTTTGGAAGACCAAGACACAGATGCAGCGTGCTTGGAAATATCGGGAGAAGCAGTGATAGGAGTGATCTGAAAACTAATGCGTGCTCGTGTGTATACCTTTACTCAGTAGCCGTTCGAGTCTGCCGCGTCGTCAACAGTCTGTATAGCGTTTCTTGCCTCCTCGGGGAGGGAGGCCGATATAACCAGAAGTCGAAATTAATTTCGTTTAAGCTATAATTGATAGAAACTCAAACTAAAAGCCAAGTGCGCCAGTCGCACATTGCGCAGTTTGACCATGAACGGGCTCTACGCTTACTCGAGAGAAAGACAACGATTCCGCATTTGCGACTTGTGCATATTGTATAATCGAAATTGTTAGATTGAGATAACCCGGGTGGAAATGTCGGTTGTTTTTTTTTTTTTTTTTTTGGTACTGCACTTCATAATCCGAAATGCAGTACCAACTGTACAACAGCTGGTAACACCTCTACTGTCCCTTTCTAAGCGGCACTGCGTGCCTTGCTTTCTCGATGTTCGACTGAAAAGTGACAAGGAAGGCCCCAGCAGATCTTCGCGTGCTCTGCTTTGAATACTCGAGTGGCGCTTGGCGTGCACGCAGCTCAGATTGATTCCTCGAGGTCTCGTCGCTATGCCGCAGCGGCCGCCACGCTCAGGAGTTCAAGGTGCCGTTTCGTAGCTGCCCGAAGGCATAGAAGTGTGGCAGCTTGGGCCAGTTGGTTTGGCACGACGGTAGTCATAGCGCGAGAACAAAACGACGACACAGAGACAAGAAGGACACGAAAGACACGAGCGCTATGTTTCAGTTCTCGCGCTATAACTATCGTCATGCCCGAAGGCAGCTACGAAACGGTACTTCGATGCCGCGAAAGTTTTCGCGTCGGAGCTGGACAAGAGACGTGAAAGCATGCCACCGGACGAGGTTGTGCGAGCGGGGTTGTTCCGTTGACCCAGACGGCAGGAAAGGGGGTGCGGTCGTTCGAAAGGACGGCCAGCGCGGGTTCCACACACTGACCCCTCCTCTCCTGTGGTGCGCGGCCTCCGCTTTCGCCGCTCGGCCCGTGGAGTGCGTTGGCTTTTCAGTTCTGCCAGGGCGCGCGGGCTCTCTGGAATGCGCCGCCATTCGCACGGCTCTGCTCTCGCTTGTAAACACCTTTGTCGGGATTTGCTGCTGCGCTTTCTTGTGCGTTCTCTCTGGCGTTGGATGCCAACGAGGTCATAGCTAGGACGACGGCCGTTTTTGAAAGTTATTCGTTCGAGGATTGATAGGCATGGTCGTCGTCAGGATTTTTTTTCTTGGGGGTGCAAACCAGTGTTGAATCGCGGCTGAAGGAGGGGGAAAGCGCTTGGGTGAGGGCAAGTGCTAGTGAGTTTTGAGGGGGGCAAATGC